CATCAAAACTAAAGAATACGTAGTTAAATAAATTATTAGTTACAACTTACAAATTCTACCACAGAACTGATAGCAACAGTTTCTAAAGAACTTGCCACAAAATATCTAGATGACCAGGTCAAGTGACTGTTACTATAGAATGTGTGTCATCGAACCCTTATATTAAGCATTGAATTTGTTTCAAGGATGAAATGGCAGCGACTTTATTCCATTACTAAGAACTGTTGTGGAATTACAAGATATTTCATCATCAATTGGTGAATATGAAGAACTGAATCATCCATAACAAGTTTAGGGTCGTCTAAGGTCTTATTTGGTTAAGAGTACAAGTGGACCAAATTTAAAAAATCCATAACTCAAAAACTCCCGCCACCTCACATGAATGAGAATAGAGAAAACCCAAAAAAAACGCCCAAGTTGAAAGAAAATTTATTAGAATAAAGCAACAACAATTTCAGAGCATAAAAAGGGATGAATAGATGACTTTCGCTTTCCCCCCCCCCATCACTCGGGATCTTGGCCTTTGACATGTGAACGATCAAGTCGACCATACGGATACTGTAACCCCGTTCTTTGTCATACCACGACACCAGCTTAACGAAGTTGTCAGTCAATGCAATTCCAGCCTTTGCGTCAAAAATGCTCGACCTGCACAACACAATGGCTTTAACTTAAAAGCCTTAGAGACCAAAAGAGACCTTAGAGAGTGAACATTTCAGTTAATATTATTAAGTGCAAATAGATATTGTATGCTGTCACCAACGAAGCCAGTTGAGACAACATCATCCTCGGTGTAAGCAAGGATTCCCTTTAGTTTGCCTTCGGATTCCTCCCTGTGTGCATAGGTAAAAACAATTAGCTATCTCATCCTACAAAGCTACGAAACTACTGATATAAAGTAACTGGAATCGAGAGCTTACTTGATGGCCTCCTTGATTTCGTCATATGGTCAACAACTGAAACATCAAACGGTGGGAACACGGAAGGACATTCAACTTTCCGTTAAGCTGTGGAAGGACCTTTCCGACAGCCTTGGCAGCTCCGGTCATGAAACACGGTGACCTTATTATCACCTTAATAAAGGAAGGAAGGTACTGTTTCCCTGGTACCACTGAAAAACACAATGCTCATACCACTTGAAGGATCACCAGAATGACAGACCCCATCAACAAAAGGTGGCCACTGAAACTACAAAAGAGAAGAAACCAAAAAAATCTATCAAAACAAAGTAGAAACAAAAGGTGGTCTTAACCAAACTGATTCAGCAATAGATGCCATGATATACAAGCAAAATCCCTACATTTCCAAAATACAGACTAAGCTACATGAGGATATACGGAAAGCCGGATATACTCCAAGTTACAGCCACCAGGTATCGACAGTCTCTAAGTAAATTACGATCCAGTGAGTAGAAAAAGAATATGCAGATCAACATATAAAGAGGTGGAAATCCAAAATCTCAGTCTAGATTTGTATATCCAACGCAAACTGAAACGAACCTTCAAAGAGGTGGACTCAGCGACGAAGTCAGCTCCAGCCTCACCCTTCCTTGACAAACACAAATCACTTATGAGATCGTCAGGGCATCCATATACATAATAGGGAAAAGAGAATAGATCGGAAGTTGTACCTGATGCCGAAGACGGTGACTGGAGAAGGATCTTCCGAATCCTCTGAAGAACAACTCTAGCAACCAAACGACCGATTCTTCCGATTGAATCAAAGTCGATTACAGAAACCAAAAACGTCAGAATCGATAGATCTAAGATTTACGAATTCAAACAAACCTAAGAAGAGAAATAATCAAATCAGAAGCTCACCGTTGATTCCCATCTTGAAACGAAAGAAGAGAACGGCGAGAGAGAAGAGATCGGGGAAGATCAGTCAACAAAAGCGACGAGACTCGCTCATCGTCGAATCAAACACGCGAGAGAGAGAGAGAGTGCGTAAAAAAATGATTGAAATTAGAACTCAACTCATTATAAATCAATTATTTATTTACAACTGATTATTGACATCATTATTGACTGAAATATTCACATCATCAACTGAAATAAACAGACTGATTATTGACATCATTATTGACTGAAATATTTACATCATCAACTGAAATAAAGAGACTGATTATTGACTGAAGTTTAGTTGCCGGAGTTAAG